GGTGGGCGGGGTAGACTTTCCTCTTCGAATAGCGACAACAGCTGAAATAATCGCAGACAGCTTCAATGAGTTGTGTACAACAGTTTTGACAAGTTTACCGGACGTTATGCTTGTCCTCTGAGTCCATCATAACCAAGTCACTACAATTTAACAAAATTAACTCGATGGTTCTTGTAGTTCTAAGAAATATACGCCTGACCTTATTCTCTAAACATGTTTGTAGCATAGTCCCTTTAAACAAAACTAATTAGGTGTTTATCAATGTCACACACGCACACACTCTCTCTCTCACAAAACTATAGCTTGCCCGCTAGAACATTAATTAAAAGTTAGGTAGTGGTCTCGTCCTAAAGAGAAAGAGGCATGGGACATGGCTAAGTATTTTTTCTTGGACTGTAATCTGCTACATAATTTCCATATCTTCTTTGACGCTCTACGTATATATACATTACAAGACTTTAATCAGGCAACGAAATCAGAATTGTCGATCTCGCATTGTGAATCAATATCTAACCCATGCTTATTTGCTACGGTGATTACAACAATTTACTTGTTCAGCAAGTGCTTTCTTGTTATGTCGTAGCCACCATTTTATTTCACAGAAATAACTCAAACTTTGTTTTGTATATATATTCAAAGAAAAAATGACTTGATTGCTCCGTCCAAACTTTGTTACGTATACATATTCAAAGAAAAAAATGATTTGATTGCTCTGTCCATGTAGCATTGTAACCGAATATATTTAGAGTTTGTTTATTTTTTAATTTTAAATATATTTTTATAAAATTATTTTTTAATTTTTTTCTCTACTTCAATTTTTTTATATTTTCAGATTATTTTGATATAATGGTATTTAAAAATAATTTTTAAAACATAAAAGATATTATTTTTATATATTTTAAAATAAAAAATAATTTTAAAAACAACTATAATTATACTTTTAAATATAAACATAATTGTACATAAGTTCGTGGATAACGAGGGTTAAAGGATGATGATTTCATAGTTATCCTATCCAAAAATTAATATACTATCAAAATACCAATAAATATTTAAAGGTTCAAATTAATCCGTAAATGATGTGCAAAATAATATATATATATATATATATATATATATATATATATAAA